AGTACTGCCACATCCTCGACCTTCGGATGCCCGAGCAACAGATCTTCCAGCTCCGCCGGCGCAACTTGCACCCCATTCACCTTGATCATCTCCTTGATCCTCTCCACAATCTCTATATGGCCGTCCTCATCAATAACTGCCACATCGCCTGTATGGAGCCACCCCTCATTATCATACGTCTCCCTCGTTGCCTTTTCATTCTCCAGATATCCCATTGTGACCTGCGGCCCCTTCGCCAGGAGCTCTCCAGGCTGCCCACGCGGTACCTCCGCTCCATTCTCGTCAACGATCTTTACCTGCGTGCTGGCACACAACTTCCCAACTTTGTGCCCGTGCTTGAATTGCGTGTCCCCCGGCAATGTGGCCGTGATACACGAGCATGACTCCGTCATGCCATATCCATGCTTCAACCCCATCCATGGAAACTTATTCTCAAGCTCCTTGATGACCTCACGGGAGAGCGGAGCTGCGCCAGAGGAGAGACGCTTCACGTGCTTGAGGTCGTAGTTAGCGACTATGGGGTCACGGATCAACCGGATGAGGATTGGTGGCACGAGGAGCATCTCCGGAATCTTGTAGTCGGCCACGGCGGTGAGCATCTTGGGGAGCGTGAACTGTGGGAGCATGACTACGTCGGCATTGACAAGAAGAGGGAGGTGTAGGATATGCACGAGGCCTGTGATGTGGAATAGAGGGAGAGCCGCCAACACACGGTTTAGGTCCGGAGTGGTCACTTTTTGGAGCTGGAGGCATTGGGCAATTACATTTCGGTGGGATATCATTACCTATGATACCTGATTAATCATCTCCTCTTACGAAATCACGACAACTTAAGGAAGAGTGGGAGGGGAGGCTTACAGCTTTGGGTAGCCCTGTCGTCCCGCTACTAAAGCTCAAGAATGCCACCGCTTCTCCATTACCTTTCCCCTCAGGAACTACCCACTCCGGCGTCTGCTTTGCAACCCTCCTTCCCATCTCTACCAGCTGCCTCAACCCCATAATCCCCTCTGCCCTACCTTCCAGTAGGAATACCCGCTTCTTCTCCATCCCTACCCTCTCCGCTGCCGCCAACGCAACTTTCAGCGACCCCGGCAACGTAAACAGGGAGCGTGCCTTGCTCTTCTCCAGAGCATAGGCCATTTCATCCACCGTATATGCGGGACTCGCGCCGCTGACTACACCACCGGCGCGCAGTACTCCGTACATAGCGACCGGGTACCATATTGTGTTTGTGGAGAACAGGGCAACGGTTTCGCCGGGGCGTAGTCCGTAGTGTCGAGTCAGCGCCGTGGAGAGATGCGTAGTGAGCTGTTTGAGCTCTGGGAAGCTGATGCGCGCGTCGGTGGCTGCATCGATGAAGGAACGCGTGGAAGATGCGGGAGTGGTTGCTATTGTTGAAGTAGGGCCGAAGAGGAAATTGTAGATTGTGGACGTTGGGGGGACTGCGGGCTTTCGCGTCAGCTACTAATTGATTAATTGATACTAAACGCTACAGTTTCACAGATATCACAGATATCGCAGGGAAGCAGTACCGTCAATCGGAGGGAGTGGCGATTCGTAAGGCATTTCGAGTGGTCTTTTTGTTTTCAATTGAGCTAGTGATATAATGATTACAGTTACATGAGGAGAGCTCTCCTGAAGCTATTTATCGACCTCAGCTCTCGTCAGCCTCGGAAACTCACATGTAGATGTTGTGGTAGAGCCAATCATTGGCTCTGAGACCAATCAATAACCGAGAGTGAGGGGGCGGGAACTACAGAGTGCGTTAGGCTGCTTTGGGGGTTTTAGGGTGTAGGAGAGAATCCGGGGAAGTGGAGTGCGCTTTGGGAAGGTGAGGCTTGGGTCGTCGGACTGCTGCCCGCTCGTTCAGCGATGCACCTCGATGTTTGCAGTTTGAAGATCTGGAAAACTCCGGTATCGTTCTTTTCGGACTTTACCCTGCGCGCGGTAGATATTACCCAGGCAGTAGGCGGCTCAAGCCAGTTAATGAACAGTATATTATGGGCCCCAGCTTGGTCTATGTAGCATCATACCGAGGTACAATTCCACCTGGCATAGACGGAGCAATATGGCGGGACTCGGCAGAGCGCTGGTCATTTTTAAAGACTCTTGTTCAAACAGAGCTGAAATTAATTGACCCGGTAAACTAAGCCAGAAGCTTCCATTTAGAAATTCTATTCTGCGTGTAAATAGTCAATTCTTCCTCCTAGATCGACGGGTTTTATCTCCAATTGCTCAAATCTTAGACTTCCCGCATCTAGTTATTCCTAGGTTGTGATAAGATAGAATTGATAGAAGTACTTTAGTAGGTTGGGTCCTCTAATATAAATCTCTCCCATATTTGTCACTCCCAATCCCGGTATCAAAAGCTGTTGCATCTATCATTGCCAACCAGAGAGCTTGTTCGAATCCAAGGGTGACTAGAAATACTCTGGGATAGGGCAGCCCAATGTCCTCGGAATATCCTCCCGCGTTCTACGGTCTAATATGCCAGCGAGCTACTGAGGTCATCACCTCACAAAATTTAAAAGCTATGGCAACTCGATGCCCCTATCAGAATGCTTCAAAGTATGCGCAGCTGCAGAGATACAAAGCATTTTACCTCTGAATCTTACCTTTATCCTCGTCAAATACCCGTCGTCACGTGGTCACGCACATGCGGAATTTCCCGAATTACCCACGATCCTTACATCATAGCCAGTTTGGCTTGTTAGGATGCAACAACTGCAAACACTCCTCATCTTCCTTTGCAACTTCCTCTCCCTCCTCTACACAGCGTTAACCCTCACAATGCCGATCCCAATTTATGATTGTGCTGACCGTCGCCCCCTCTTTGGAGGCACTAAGTAAGTCCCCCTACCATATATCATTCTTCCGGGCATTATAATTGGCACTGATATAATATCAAACCAGACCATGGACCGCCTCTGAATGGACCGTGCAAGACGACCGAGTCCGCGGCGGGAGCTCCGTCGTACGTCTCTAGTATCCCGTTGATGGCCATTAACTAACTGTCCACCCCCTCGGTGTGAATATAGTCCTACATGATTCCCTCCCCCGCAGGCACCTCCGCGCTCTTCTCCGGAACCCTCGACACAACCACTCTCGGCGGCGCCGGCTTCGCCTCGCAGCGGACCACCGAAGAGGCAATCTGGGACCTCGCCCCCTACGCCGGCATCGAGCTCGTCGTCTCCGCGCCGCCGCAGAATGACTCCACAACCGTCAAGACCTTCACGCTGGTGCTCAAGGACGTTGTCCCGTCGGCGTACACCGACCGGGCCACGGGCCGGGCGCGCGAGGAGTCGACGCTGTCGTATGAGGCGACTTTCAAGGCCACTGATGGGGCCGCGAACGGTGATGAGCAGATTATCTTTTTGCCGTGGTCGAACTTTAAGGCGACGTATAGGGGGCGGGAGAGGGATGGTGAGAGGGAGCTGGATTTGGGTGGGATTAGAAGGTTCTCGGTGATGGCGAGGAGCTTTTTTGATAATCAGTCGGGGCCGTTTCAGCTGGGGTTGGTGTCGGTGACGGCGGTGAAGGGGACCGGGAGGAGGGAGAAGGCGGGGTTTGTGGATGAGTATGATATGTTTGATGGGGATGAGGATGGGGATGATGGTGTGGAGAGGAGGGAGGTGGGGAATGGGGAGAGTGAGAGGCCGGCGGGTTGGTGGGGGTGTAGGGTTATGTAGAGTGGAGGGGAAGTTAGATGCTTAGTTTTAGTTTTAGTTTTCTTTTTCTTTTCTTTTCTTTTCTTTTAATTTTCTTTTTTTTTCATTCAGTGAAATGTAAGTGATTCTTGCTATGGGTTAGGGGGTCATTGGGTTTTTTCTTTCTTTAAGTGGTACAGGTTGGAGAAATAACACCTAATTCCTAGGAAATTAGAAAATCATTACCCTTGTAATCAGAAAGCCCTGCTGTCAATGATTACGCCGCTAGATTTCTCCAAGGGTCGCGCTCTCATGGCCAAGGCACGTGCACCTGCATCCCAGTTTCTAATTGAGGGCAATGGCCCCCGGACCCGCGGTAGAGCATATCTACCTATTTATGTACTCCTCCTTCTTCTTGTTCTTGTTCATGTTCTTTTTTTCTTTTTTTCTTTAAAATTCCTTAACTTATAAATCATCTTGCTATGTGAATGCCATCCATTACTCCGTGAAATGGGGCTCGATTCGAATTCATGTACAGTATATGTTGCGTTCACAGGTTCGCACTCGATGACGGAACAGGACCCTGACGCCGAGCTGACACTTTGATGCCATCACCAACCAACTTCGCTTCCACCGTTCTCAATTCGTTCCAGAGGAGATACTACGATATACAGAAGATGGTGTATTTAGCGTTTGGGCGCTCAATTGATTGTTTTGTTAACTCTGTACAGTCCTTTAGAGGGCACGCTTAAGTTGTGGTGTAGTGGGCGAAGCGCGATAAGATAACAGGCACCCCAGATTAGAGTTGGAGCAGGGGCATGATCCACTTCTGCACGGTCAGGACAAGACAGATGGCATCATAGGGTCCCATCACCCTCTTTCTGTACCTGTGCTTGATGATGGTGTGCTGGTGGTGATAAGATAGCTTAGGGAGGCTATAATATAGAAATTGAGTAGAGCAGAGCAGCTGGAGTAGAGCAGAGCAGCTGGAGTAGAGCAGAGCAGCTGGAGTAGAGTAGAGTAGCTGGAGTAGAGTAGATAGAGCAGATGCGTAACTAAGGCACAAGACCGCAACGTCCCCCCTCCATCCCCCCATTCCCTTTGTGTATCCTAAGGGTCCGAAAAAATTAATCTTGCGCCATCATCGCCATAATCCTTCGAACCTCACCTCTAGAGCCCCCCCCCCCCCCCCAAAAAAAAAAAACGAATTACCTCTTCTTCATCCCGCCCCTCACTCCTTCATCTCCCTTATCACCTTCAATCGATCCCCTACCTCTCTTTCATCTACCTGCCTGCTCTCTTCCCCATATTACCTCTCCCACCCCCCCCCGCCCATCGCCCCACATCTGAACCATGCAGAGAGTGGCCCTCAGATCATCAGCCCTTACAACGGCCCGCCGGGGTGCTATCCTCTCTCCACGCCGCACAACCATCCTCCCCCGTAATGTTGTCAGTGCCCTAAGATCATCAAGCCTCTCCACCTCCAGCAGCACCAACAGCATTAGCAGCAGCAGCAATAGCAGCAGCAGCAGCAGCAGCTCAGCAGCTCCTACCCCCTCAGGTAACATGAAACCAAAACAATTCACGATAGCACTACTAAGCGGTCTGGTCTTGGCCGGTGCGTGGTACTACAAAGACAGCATCTCGGCCAGTTTGGGTACTAGTAGCAGTCCTTCTCCTCCGTCATCCTCCCCTCGTCCTGTTGTCTCGCAGCAGCCTCAGCACCAGTCCTTCTCAACCTCCGCCGTAACACCCGCGGCAGCAGCCTCGAAAGAATCGGAGGAGCCCAAGAAGGTCATCCTGATCGATAACGAGAGCCTCTACACTGGTACCCTACCTGCCGGCGAAAAGGTCTCGAAGGAGGTCGATAACAGCGGTAGGAAGATTGTGGAGATGTTGTCACCGGAGCAGGCTACGGAGAAGCTGAGGAGGAACGAGGAGAGCTACATCGTCGGCCGGGGACGCGGTGTTTGGAGATACGATGTCGTCCAGGTCCCCAGTAACGATCCCATCGAGGATGACCACGATGAGAAGATTATCGAGGTCCCGCAGACGGTTGTCCCAGTTGAGGGGGAGCCAAGCAGCGATTGGATGTTTTGGGGCGTGTTTGATGGGCATAGGTTTGTAGAAACATTTTTCACATACATCAAGATAGCCACCGGCTCGGTCACGAGACATACTCTACCCTACACGAATTATGACAATGCTAACAATTTCTCCATCACAGCGGCTGGACAACCTCAGCGAAGCTCCGCCAGGCCCTTATCGTTATGGTTGCCCGCGAACTAAACGAAACCTACAAAGCTGCCCTCACCGACCCCAGTGACACCGCGCCCACCTCCGAGGCTGTCGATGCCGCCATCAAAAAGGGGTTCCTCCGCCTCGACAACGAGATCGTTAACGAATCCGTCGAGAAGGTCTTCAAGAATCCCAGCAAGCTCGTCGCTGCTGAGACTCTCGCCCCCGCACTCTCGGGCTCCTGCGGTCTCCTCGCGTTCTACGAGTCCCACAGCAAGCAGCTTAAAATCGCTGTTACAGGCGACTCTCGCGCAGTCCTTGGACGCCGAGGCGCGAATGGAAAGTGGACTGCTACCGCGTTGAGTGAAGACCAGACAGGCTCGAACCGTGAAGAGGAGGCGCGCATGCGTGCTGAGCACCCAGGTGAAGAGCACGTGATCAGAAACGGACGTGTATTGGGAGGTTTGGAGCCAACACGTGCATTCGGTGATGCATTCTACAAGTGGAGCATCGATACACAGCTCAAAATCAAGAAGGAATTCTTCGGTCGTACCCCATCTGCCCTGCTCAAGACTCCACCCTACGTTACTGCGGAGCCGGTTGTCACAACCACACAGATCGAGCCGGATAAGGGCGATTTCCTTGTCCTTGCTACTGACGGTCTCTGGGAGATGTTGACGAACGAGGAGGTCGTTGGCCTTGTTGGTCGCTGGATTGAGGAGCAGCAGGAAGGTGCTACCAAGAGTGGGAAACCATGGTTCGGTGGATTGTTTGGTGGAAAGGATCAGGGTGCGCTGCCCGTTGAGGGCGAAGCCACCGATGCGACCGGTCAGAGACAGCCCATCAGGATAAGGCAGTGGGGAGTAACGGCGAAGGAGAGCGAGAGGTTCGTGTGGGAGGACCGCAACGCGGCTACACATGTGGTCAGAAACGCCATGGGTGGCAAGAACAAGGACCAGTTGTCGGCTTTGTTGACACTTCCGAGCCCGTACTCGAGAAGATACAGGCATGTTATCTTAGGTTGAAATGAAGTTGAGACAGGTAAGCTAATGTTTTACAATAGGGACGACCTGACTGTCGAAGTCATCTTCTTCGGCAACGGCACCGACAAGAGCGGCAAAGTCACCATAAACGAGGAAGCCACCGCAACCAAGAGCAAGGGAGAGAAGGCCGGAGATGTCAAGGCAAAGCTTTGATTTCGTAGAAAAAAAATTAAAATTGTAGCGCTTGACGAGACCATGTATAGAAGGATTTGCTTCTGTTCTTTCTCTCTTTCTTGATCCCCCTCCCTCTTTTCCATCCAGAATAGTTGTGTCTTCTTCTCGCCCTTGTTTCTGTTTTTGGTTGGAGATGTCATGCAGTAACGTAATTCAGAAGCGGAATTGGAGTAATGACCTCAGTTTTATGTGGTGAGTGTGTTTCTGTGTGATCATGGGGTATCACTCACGCTGTTGTGGGTCGTGAACCGTAAGTACATTATACCCACGCCTCGGGAGGTAATACATAAATAGGGAGCATTCAAACTCCGAAAACGTGAAAATCCGCAACTCACTACCAGCGGTAGGTTATATATCGCCCGAGCAATCATCAAGGGGAGGGCACTTCTCCCAAAATGAAACTCCTACCAGACTGTCATAAACCTCCATATCTCCACACCCCGAATACACCTATATTTTTCCCGCCACCCAAGCTTCAAACCCAGGCCATACCGAGCTGTAAAAGTGGTATCGAAACCAACCTCAAGATTGTCCTTCGATGACTCTTCGCATATATACAGTAAGAAACATGACTCAATAGCGGCCCTCCTTTTGTAGAAGCGGGGTGAGTATCCAGCTAATCTACATCTCTTGGAAGCTTAATCCAGGCAATGAGCAGTGAATGAATTGTGGGAGATATTGGTACGTGAGAGCTTCAAGGTAATGTCGAACCGTAATCTCCTCTCGTACCTGGATGGCCGTCACATCTATCAGCAGCGTTGTTTAGAGAAGAGGTGGAAGTGCTAGCTAGTGCAATCTCTGAAAGGCCTTCGATACACCCGGGAGGGCTTCCTCTCGAGGCAACTAGGAGTAGTAAGTGCATATGGCCAGTGGGTCTTCTCCATCGGCGGTTCAGAGCTCATCGAAATAGTCGCTGCCAGTGACTGCTCATGGGGGTACGTCTGACCGTACATGGTGCGTTACATAGTTGTGTGGTGCGGTCGAAGAACTGGTGGTAGTTGTTGGTTGCGCGTACGGTGCTGCGTCAAACCTTTAGGCCTGGTTTTTAGGGCCAAATCCGAACCCCATCCAACAAAACGACGGTTTTTAAAATTATAATGCGTTGTGTGAAAGATTCTGACATCTCTTGCATATATATCTATTGCTTCTAGAGCTACTTCAATAAATAAATAAAAAAATAAATCATTTCCGCAGCTTATGTAGATCGAGTGAGAGTCTATGATCAAGACATGCAGTTTTTTTGTTTGTTTAATTCATGAGACATGCAGTTGGCCGTGTTGCTTACTTCCCAAGGGCCCTACGACCGCGGGCTAGTACGGTGTGTATCTCAGCCTCGTAACTTACAGCTATAATATTGCCCTCTGAACTGATGGAACCTAGTTTGGGGTTTGGGGGGGGGAGAGGGGCGGTGTACAGAAACACTAGCTCTAGAGGGGACGTACCTGAGATTCGGGCTGAAAGACAGGGCCGGCTGTGGACTACTATATGGAGCTTTCTCCATGTAGTCTGAGTAGTTGCTGGAGATTACGGTAGGCGCAGAGGAGGATGAATAGCAATAGTATGAGATGTTTCAAACCAGGTAATAGGTGTGGTCATGGGACTTGTAATTCTGCTCGCCGGTGATCAGGTGGTGATATAATACTACGCAAATACTAGCTCGATCCACGGTAGGAAGTAAGTAAGAGAAGGAACCATAGCACACCGGTTGTGGCGAGGACTGCTGAATCCTAGTGGAAGTCAGTACGGACTTATCCACCTCAATCTAGGGCTAGGTTTTTTTTAAGCCAAAAGAACTATGGCTTAATAAACAATAAACGGCCTACGAGTCTAAATTAGAAACCGTCTATCTTAAGTCTAATATAGCTATAGTGACTACTTTTAATTTAAGAGACCAGATCACCTAGGGGATGGAGACTGCGTTGCTCACTCACCCGCGGGCAATAGCATATTTCCCTGATCTCCACAAACGAGGGTTAGGGTTATTTACCACGAGTGATGAAACATGATTAACCCCCACGATATAGGTAATGAACGGCGAAGAGCAGCAGCCAAGCCCCAGACACCCCCAAAAGAAATATTTCACTATTATAGAGCTCGACTTTAGACAAATAATTGTCTGAGGCTGCTGTATGTATGTCTTACGGATGGCCAATCATAGGCTATCACTCGGATTATGTGCTTATTTGTTGGTTGATTGCACGGCTACGTACTCCCGGTTTCTTATAGTGGTCAACTCCCACTTAATAAGTTCGATATTGGGGCGGGTTGGGAATAAAAAAAACCATCTCTATAGGAAGTAGCTACCCTAACCCTTCCGCCGGCCAATTTACCCCACCTAAATCACTGACCCTACCTATGCCCTCTTCCACACAACCACACAACGAATAAAACCAGATCTCAAATCCTCGCCTACCCTCTTCGCTGTTTCTCCTAGGCCAACCTACCCGTCCCAATCATTTCCATGAATTAAACAAAAACAAAAAAAATCCCAATCATTTCCACCTCCACCCCATACCTATGTACATGGACCCACAATCGTGCCTGGCTCTGCCTGTTCATAAAAGAAGAGGGTGGTGATTTGCGACGCTTCTGGGCGTATTCGGTGGTTATCCCTGACTATCCAATGGTTGGTGGGTAGGCAGCGGCGGCCGGCAAATGGGAGTGTTGGCTGCAAGATGAGGTTGATGGTTGATGGTTGCATGTGACGTCAAAGAGCTAGAGTGGTTTTATATGTGCATGCGGGGATGTATGTCATATAGGTACCGGCGATGTATCTGTACCGCCATGTACCTACTGACATGTACTGTAACGGGACTGGACACGTACAGGGCAACGGTGTACTTGAGGCCACGGGTCGCGGCACTCATTGCAACGTATAGAATCAACGCTCTTGATCCCCACACCGCCTAATTAAAGACTCGGGAGATCTGCACCCAGATGGCCGTGATGGTCGTGATAAGTCAGATCTACTCGTAAATTCATGATTTTTCCGAACACGACTGCTATTGCATACCATATAAAAAAGCGCCAAATCCACCTTTTTGTATGTCATGCAATATCGGTCGTGTTCGGAAACGCTATGAACTTATGCCTAGGGAAGACTATATAGTAACTGATAAAGGCCAGCTACAGGTACTTGGATTCGTGTCCTCGGAAAGACCTCACCAAACAGCAGACGCTTAACTATTATCATAAACATGCAGTTTTACCCACCTGGAAACGTGCAAGGCAAACAACACGTGTGTTTCCCCATAATACCGAGTTGGCACTTGTTTATCCCTCGGATAATCCTCATGAATCATCTTGATTTGTTTAAAAATGGCTACATACCGAGAGGTTCTAAGGCATCGTGCATCTCCGCTCAAATAGAAAAAGGTCAGACCTCACACCCTTAACCACTTTTGAACTATTTGTTTATAAAGGAGTACTTGAGGCTCGCTCTCTCACAACACAGACATTCTGGAAGTACCTATGTGTTTCAATATGCACCCCACTCTTGAAATTAATAAGCACATGGACGACCGGTGCGATGTCGAGATAAGCTTCAAGGAGGCCGTCTAATATGAGACCTGCTGCAGCAGCGTTGGCAGCTGCCGCGGTTAAACCAATCCCTGCACGCCCTTCCATCTCATCTCCACCCTTTTGCAATTAATTTGGGCTTACACAAAATAGCCCGGATATTAAGGAGGATGCAGCTAATTGCAACGAAACCCCGACTTGTACGCGCGACGTTTGCCCCGGTCCGAAAGGCTCAGGCCGATGAAGTCCACTCTACTTCTCGGACCAAATTGCAGTACCAAGAACTGACCGTGTTTGACAAAGTTCCGTCAGACTGCAGTAGTTGTGCCTATTATATGTAAGTAGATGCTCCTGGGCATGGGGGGTTGGTTGTCTTGGCTAGAATTGTAGATTGTCCAATCTGGCGTTCTTTACCAATTCTGCGATTTATTGTATGTGCCAATCGCCCCCCCCCCCTCTTTCTCCCCTTTGTGGCACCTGTGGTTTCTTGTATTTAGGCTTAGTTAATTTTTATATTGGCCGCGGGCAGAAGGCCACTCATCAGTGGTCACTCGGTTGCTGTGGTGACCAGGAACAGAAAGTTTATCTAAACGAATCGAATCGGAATAGCGTACATGACCCCTTTGTGGCACCGCTTCTGGAAGGCTACAGAGGAGATAAAGTGGATTTCCAAGACTCTTGATGATTGGGCTAGAAGTACTTTCTCTCTTTCCCAGTGCAGTGCCCAGCTACTAGAGATGTACCATATCGACTCTAGATTCAGGAAATTAACTGCAAGCGGAAGATGCCGAGTTTAATCTCCTCTCTGCTAAAAGCCCCACCAGCCGTAAAGTGGTAGCTTAAACTTTATCCAGGATGCCCATGCCCGCCCCCCCCGATGCGGTTGCATCATAAATGGTCACTCTGTTAAATTGCAGCACCGCCACAGCCAGCCCAATGTATGCTAGGGCGGAAGTAGCGCTGGACCTCGGTATCCAGATCCGCAGAGAACAACACATCACGCCGAGTGATGTCCCATGAGTCTCTGATGATGGTACCACAATCAATCACCCCCCTCCAATCCCCTAACCCTAGCTACATATATTACATGGCATGGGCACAAGTTACAAATAACATCGAACCGGGGATACCCCCCATACTCTGCCATACCGCCCGCCGCCAAATGACAGTTGACTGGCCCTTCATCACCCGAGAAACCGGGTTTGCGGGTATGTAGGAAAGCGGCGAGAATGGCGGATCGATTTTTTGGATTCCGAGGAGGCGAGGCGAGGCAAGGCAAGCTTTTCTATTTTTTTTTTCCCTTTTTTCTTTTTTCACGTTATCTTTTTCTTGGATTTTAGCGAGGATGGTATTTTTTCAGGTGTGTTTTGGTCGGACAGGAAGGCGTGTCAGGTCAGCTCAGCTCCGCAAAAACAACATACACGTACTCACATGCACACAGCAAGTCTCTATCTACGTCAACATGATGGAACCAAGTACACCGCATCATCCATTGGCACTGTGTTGCAGCGGTAACCCCTGGCTGTGCATCATATTTGTTTCGGCCGTGTTTTGGCTGGAGGAGCAGAGGATGGTGGGTAGGGGAGGGATAGGTGGACAGCAGCCCGTATGTAGAACTAGAAAGTGTGCATATGATACCCACAACACAATAATGGCTATCCTCCCTCCCCCGCCAAGCACGGAGGCGAACGGAGACGGCCCTTGCTGGCCACTGGGGCAAGGATCAGCTTTAGACGGGATTTCTGCGATTCGATTCCCATGGGTGCTTGGCGCGTAGCAGTGTGTGTATCTATGGAGGTACTTTGGGTGAGCTGCAGATGGGCATGTTTACTCTTCGGACTGGGATCATGATCATGGGAGGGGTGGAGAAGGTGCTGTGAGTCTTGATTGCTGGATTGATTGATTAATGGCTTGATGGCTTGATGACCGATAGGGCGGGCCATTGATCCTTCAATTGCGGGAGAAAAAGCGATCGCGAGAGAGAGGGGGGAAATGGGGATTTCTATTTGTAAAGTGCCACTCTGGGTCGGTATGTATAATATCGGTATTGAATGTAGTCTACTGTGCTCTACGTGATAGGTACAGAGACAGACAGACAGCTTAAGACAATGACGGTATTGAGTGCGGTATGATGATGGGTAAAGTGCACTTGTGATATGTATGCGCCGGGTTCGGGCAGGAACCAGACTAGACCGAACACCATGTGGATACATCTATCTTCGATGGGGTAGGTGGTGATAGGTGGCTGCGCGCGTAGAGTGCATACAGTGCCTACAGTGCTAGTGTGCGTAGGTAGAGTACTCTGGTCTGGTGTTTTGTCTTGTCTTGTATGTGGTGCACATGTTATCTCTTCTTTCTGTTCTACCAGTGTATGCCGTGCTAGTCATGCCATGTATGTACTCCAGAGTATGTGGGCACTCTATCATCTCTATGTATACATACATGTGTATAGATAACCAAACATTCCAGCAAACCAGCTCTTCTTGCTAGCAACGATCCGATACGATGCGATAAACGACGATCGCACGCGTCGATTTATATATGGAAAAAGCCTAGGGGGTACGTACTCTACTCTACTCAACCAACTCTACCTCTACATACTCTAGAGTACCAGCCCATCTCTATTCTAGATTATTGGTCCCGATTGACGCAATAATTGTTTTCTTCTTTTTTCTATTACGATGCGGTTCGATTGTAAATAATTACCCGTCTCTCCATACTCTAAATGTTACTCCGGGCCGGATGCCTTCTTCGCAGGAGCCTTCTTCTTTTTTTTTGCTTGCTGCTGCTCCGGAGGAGGATGAGGTGGTTGTGGTGTTCTTGAGCGATTCCACGCTCACGTCGCTTGCTTTCCAGAGGTACCACATGTAGAGACCTATGCGTGTGCGGGCGAGTATTAGTTATAGAGGAACATGATTGCAGGGCGCACAGAGGTAGGGTAAGTAGTAGGCAGGTAATATGAGTATGTAGAATCAACAACTCGTCCAAATTAAGATATGAAAGGGTAGGTAGAGAGCTGTGGGTTGGAGCGCGCAGGGTGGGGGGTGTCAAGATTGTTCGGTATGTTGGAACGTGATGCACCAAGAAACGATAAGCAGACATGTGAATACCACCGGAACGTGACCGCACTCAAAATGAAAACATATATAAATCAGACGAACAGTAGGAACGTGCCCAATAATGAAGGGTTTTATTCCCTTCCAGAAATGACAAACAGAATTTCAAGCAAGGGGCCAAGCGCGCTGAAAGGTACAGTAGGAGGAACGTACTTCTGTAAGGTCTAAACGGCTCCGAGTGCTTGATCATGTCTGCTTCAGACATGTACTTCCACTTGCCCTTACCGCCGCTCTTTAATTTCCCCACGTCACGCCCTGCGATGACGGCCTGGCCGCGCTGGATTCCGAGGTCGCCAAGGGAGAAGACGTCCATTCGTTTCAAACCGAACAAGAGAAACATTTCGGCGGACCAAGCTAGAATTACCGTTAGAAAGATGAACAAATATATGCCTATCCGCCAACTGCGGGCATGCGAGCGGGCATCATTTTAGGGAGCTCTATTGATTGAAAGCCGAGATCTCACGCCGCCAGATCGGCATTATATAATTGGTTTTGAATGAGTGCGGGTTACCCCTCGCATTCCACATCCAGCGGCATGAGCTTATCACAAAGAAGCGGGACTCTCACCTCCAATGCCCCTCACCGCAACTAGCCGCCGGATGACCTCCTCATCGCTAGCGCTAGAGAGTATCTCCGCCGACAAATCCCCGCTCACAAACTTCTCTGCTAATGAGTGCGCATACTCGGCCTTCCTGGTGCTCAGCCCGCCGGTACGTAGGAACTCCTGCGAAAACCCCAGCACCATCGCAGGTGTCGGGAATGTTAACCTAGCATTTTCAAGTGCTGGTTGGAAGAGATGTATGAATTTCAATTTGACGGAGCGCGCCGCGGCGGAGGAGATCTGCTGCGAGATGATACCGCACATGAGGGAGTAGAATGGATCTACCGGCTCCACGAGGCCGGCGGGGGAGAAGAGGGCGCATGGGTGTGATGTGATTAGCGGGGCAAGTTTGGGTTCGACGCTGAGAAGATGAGCTATCCCGGCCTTGAGAATATCACTCGTCGTTGTCGTTGACGGGGAGGAGGAGGGGGAGGCGGCGGATGCGTGTGGCGAAACTGGTGTCGGGGCTAGGGGAGGTGAGACTAGTAGGGCGTTTGTAGCTGTCGGAGACGCAGGGCGAGCTATTGGGACTGCAACGTTTGGGGTCTGGGAGCCTTGGGTGGCCATGGCCTTTGCAACCGCCGGAGTCGGGGTGGTCGATCCATCGTGAGCCAGCCTTGAGCTTGAACTCAAGGCATTGGCGGACGTTGATTTGGAACGTTTTGTGATCCCAGCTTTGGAGGCTTTGAGGAGCAGTGTAAGGTCACCCTTGGAACGGGTGGTTGCGACCATAATGAACCTTCCTCTTCTTTCTTCTGCTCCTATGGATGTATGAGAAATTTGTCTATGGTAGGTAATGATAATAGTATGTATGTATGTATGTAGCAGCGCTTAGGAAGTCGTGAGCTAGCTACTGTAGCTATGCGCAAGTGGAGTTGGTGTTGCCCGGATGCCTGGAGCTCGCGTTGTTTCCCACAGACTGGGTGACTGGGTCCTATGACACCGCCAAGATGGATGGACAATCCCCCACAAAGGGTATGACAAACTCATTGCCCCCGGTCCCCCGGAAAGAAAACCATTGGCCGGTCATGCCTTTCCATAACTGTTAATGAAACATCACGGGACAACTCCAAGAACATCCAAAGTGCCAGAGCGGAGCGTCAAGACTCGAGGATAAAAACTTAAATTTCGTCAAAGGTGTTTCCGTGTGCTTTGTTGGACTAACCAACTACTATTATTAGTAAGGGATTATGGTCTGAGACCCTGAGTTGTCGGAATAACTTGACGTAGAGGAGAGGAAGAAAGAAAGAGTAAAAGAGAAAGGGAACTTTACTTGGTAAGTAAAAAGATCTAGAGAAAGTGCTTGGTACATACGTAGGTAGTTCCTGTACGACTTGCTGTTCTCGTGATAGGATAGGCAAGCTTTCACGGATACGCTGTGCATAATCTCGTGTCTTCAATCCTATTCTGTAAATGTTGTAGAACGTTATGCAGGCCCCATTCCCATCAGACCTTGAGCATTGCATTCAGTGAATTATGTCGGCGCTCGCGTATCTCGTGGTGGTGCAAAAAAGCAATAGGATTGTTAAAACCTAGACAGGCTGATCCAAGATATCAGGTGGTATCTACTGTTCCTGGAAGGCTAGCATGCTTCCCGAAATGTTTGTAAACAATAAATTTGTCTGCCAGACTTTCTAATTAGTTATATGCAGACGATATCCCTCTATAAAAACCGGGAGTTGTGTTTGTAGGTATCTGTATTTTTTGTATCGGATTGATTTGTGAGCAAACCCTAGATTCCTCCGTTGTGCCTTTAGATTACAAGCCTTGAAAGATCTGATTAGAGGAGCCGGGGATTTTCGACATAGCCCCCACGGATTTCCCGTAATATCGGATTCCAGAATGTCATGATGGAAACCTAGCTCTAACCATGTATGTGTTCTTATGTAAACGTCTTACAGTGTCAGATGCGAGATTAGATGTTAATTGATATCAGCAATCAAGATAGGTATTCCTTAATTGCGCTTTTTTGCTTGTACCTGCTTGATCTACTCCACCTCGTTACCTAGGGTATACTGTGTTCACGTGTATAATTTCGCGAACAAGATAACTTCTGTCAAATAATTCTCCGTGTTGCATGTACCTACCTCCTATGTGCTGCTTTAGAGTAGAGCACCGCAAATGACGTGCGTCAAAGTCAGGACTTTCCCAACCATGAATGCGTCCACCCACAAGGACTTGGGGTTTAGAGGCTTTCTCGCGGTTCGAGCGAGATTGAAGATTTCCCGTGGAGTACTGACCGTAAGCCCTACGTAAAGTATGCTTTTCGGTGCATTATCAATTAAGGGGCATATTACCATTTCAAAAACAAGCCTAGGAGCTCCGTTTTTTCCAGCGAGCCGAGCCGTGAGAGAAACACAAGGTTCTGAGAACCATAAACTTTAAATAGTTACTGGCTCGCAAAGCTTTGTAATTCTAACCCCTCCGGAACCGCCCTTAAACAAATCGACAAATCTTGCGTTGTAAGTTGGGAAAGCCCAGCCTATGGTGATATTCGACCGATGCGCTGGGGTTCGCAATGCCACTTACTCTATGGCGGCAACCACTACCAGCCAAGAGCCAGGCTTTAAAACATTGACGCTGGCAAAGACAGCAAGCCGAAATGTTCCAGATCGTGGCGATACCATACCAAAACAATTTCCACAGAAATCGACATTTGTTGATCTCGTTCGAAAAGTATGTATTCTCTCCCAGAGATAGACACTGGGCCAATTCTGACGAGCCCTTGGGGTCTCTTACACTGAAGTACTAAGAGGTAGAGTAGTTAGAGTATGTAAACTTGAAAGTAGGTTTTCCTGGTACTTTGCAAACACCATCATTAATTTCTAGTTTTGTAGGTTCCGAGGTTATTGCACTAGCCACAGATCAACGTTTCGAGCGTCACCCTCCAGGGGCCTCAATGCCAAGGACACTTGGAGCTGGACAGGCACCCATGTGCATTTCGCCTGGATGCAAGCAACGTCGACAGTGGACACGCAAAAATTCGGAGCCAACAAGCAGGGGAAGGGCCCAAGAAACCTGGAATTGACAACCCTCTAGGGGTAGAGTAGAATCAAGGTCGCCAAGACCAATTCCGCTCTCAGTCAAATTCCGGCTGTTTGAGGGGAATTGGAGCGGACTGGCGGGCAAATAAATTATAGGATGGCCACTTCGGGTTCTCCAGCCCGAATCTTGGCAGGGCATCGAATTGCATTTTTTCGGGTTTGGACTTGACGGCAACCGAGCTACTAAGTGAAGGAAAACAGCGGCCGCAGACAGATGGAAGCTATTGCAGGGGAGGTTGCTCTTTCGAAGTATGTAGGTAGAGAAAGTATGTACATACTCTAGACGAACATATCTCTGACTGAACAGGATCCTTCAAAAGGTTTGCCCGCAAGATCGAAGGAGTGGGCACCACTATGAATGCAAGCATGCGGCACCAATATGAACCAATCATCTATACAGAAATGGAATATTTGACAGATATGGCGGTGATCTACCGCCTACAAAGCGACTTCCGTGGAAAGGTGCTCTAGGAATCCAGATCCAGCGGCTGTGGAGACAGAGCTGTGGCAGGCCACCCTTCTGGCCGCTGACGTCTGTTTCGCAATTACTATTTCTGCATTGTATGCCGATACCGTATCATACACACTTCTTACACAGTGAATTGTCGAAACACCCCATAGGTAGATATAGAAGGACTATTTGTAGCGACATAGAGAAACGTTACCCCAAGCCAAGTGAATATGCAATTGGGCTATCTCAATGAGAGACCCTTCAACTAGCCTAAGTATTGAACCCGCGGGTAATGCGAAGGATCGATAAATCAGGATGGAGAAATTTCGCTAAAGAATTTTTTGTTTTTATTTTCGAGGCATGTACCTCGAATAGTTCAAGCAAGTTGATTGAATCTTGGCTTGATGTCCAATCGTAGTAGGCAGCAGTAAATAGTGCCAATAGCAGAATAAAAGAGGATATTTGATACAGATGCACTTGAAGATAGTTCTTGTTTCCAGTTTAGAGAGGCAATGGGTGGGGGAGCAGGTGGATATCACGGTCCTTCCAATCAAAGACCCCTGGCATATGCCGGGCTTGCTCGCATTCCGGCGGAGCCACAGGCAGGCACCACCTCTCTCTACCCACCACGCTCTATTCCTTGCCAACAAATCTAACTTTCGCGGCCAGACCACCTGCTATTTCCGCCGCTACATCCAATTCTAGCAAGCGTGCTGCGTGTCTTGTCGTTCTAAGTGGTTTTGCTTCCCGTGTGCTCCTTTTTTTCTCTCACGGTCCCCTTTCCCTCCTTTCTATCCCCGTTTCCGCCACCCTCTTTCAGTCAACGCACCACGGCTATCCACTCACGTCGTCGTAGTCTTCTTCTCTCCTCTCCCACCCTTCGTTCTCTTCCTTTTCTTCTTCGTTCTTCATCACGCCTCTTCTTTAACCAGTCTCTCGTTCATTCATTCAAGCTTCTCACCTTCGTTGATCAGTAGAGTTTGCTTGTCATTTCAACACCACCCCATTACACCAGCACCATCATCAAGATCATCAACAAACATTAAACTTTTAATAATACACAATGCCTTCTCTCAGATCCTTCCTCTTGGCCTCATTTGCCGTAGCTGGTGCTCTAAGTGGTATGTTATCCTCGTTTTCTGATGCACCCGCATCGTTATGCTCATCTCGATTCACATCACACGTGAAATTCCCGTTCTATGAACAGAAAAAAAGAGAAAAATGCAAAACACTGTGCAACTTTGACTAACATCTCAACTATAGCCGATTGTAGTGGTGATGTCTCTATTGACAGCGATGGCGATGTTAGCAAGCTTGACAACTGTAACAGCTGGAAGGGAAATGTTGCTGTTGGGACAGGAGTTGTTGCTCTCTCAATAGCTTCTCTCCAGACCCTCAACGGGGACCTTACCATCACTGGAGCCACTGGCCTCACCTCAATCAGTGCTCCCATGCTCCGCTCAATCAGCGGGACCTGGACGATGCAGGAGTTGACTATCCTATCCTCTGTCAGCCTTGCTTCTCTTACCTCGGTTGGAAACATCAACTGGGTGACTCTTCCTGCTCTCAAGGCTCTGGATTTCACCTCAGGAGTCACCAACTGCGACGAAGTCTTGATCACTGACACCATCCTCACTTCCCTTGATGGAATCCAATTGCAAACTGCCACGAACTTCAACATCAATAACAACAAGTACTTGAAGGAGGTCAATGTTGCCCTTGGAAACGTTTCTAATGCACTCAACATCGAATTCAACAGCAAGGGTGTTAATGTTGCGTTCCCCGACCTTGTCTGGGCAAAGAACATCACCATTCGTGACGCTGGAGTCGTGTCCTTCCCTAAGCTCGAGTCAGTCAACGGAACCATTGCTTTCATCAACAACACATTTACCGATGCCGCCTTCCCTGAATTGACTGAGGTTGGTGGTTCTTTCGCCTTCAACAGCAACTCTCAGTTGTCAAATGTTTCCGCCGTAAACCTCGAGACCATCGGAGGTACTTTCCAGTTGGCCAACAACACCAAGCTTAAGGACATTGACGGTTTCCCTGCTTTGACCACTGTTGACGGATCCGTCGATTTCTCTGGAAGCTTCACCAAGTAAGTCCTTCAAATCATCTTTTCTTATTACTCCTAGAAACAGTCAATATTAACTAATTAACAGTGCCACTCTTCCTTCTCTTGACGACGTCCGTGGAGGATTGAACGTACAGACCACTGAGGAATTCGACTGCACTGAGTTCAAGGGGTACAAGGACAGTGGTGTTATCAAGGGTAACGGATACACTTGCGAGGGAAAGCTCGATGAGGCCAAGTCTTCCAGCGGTGGTTCTTCAACTTCAGGTTCCGGTAACTCAAGCGATACGACCAACTCTGCTGCCCGCGCCGGTGTCAGCATCGTTTCTCTGTTCGCTGCATGCGCCGCCATGCTGGTCTTGTAAATTTATAACTGGAATTTTGTTGCGGTTTAGTGTCTTGTCAATTTACTACGCTTGTTTCCTGGCATTGAGGATGTCAGGCTAATTATACCACCTTTTTTTCTGCTTCGAAAGGATAGGGCGGATGTTTGGGAAGATGATGAGGCAATGAGGTTGGGGTTTGCTTGCTAAAAGGTTGTTTTCTTTCGGTTTTTTTTTTGCATTTTTACGTTTTTTTTTTTTTTTTTTTTAGCGTTCTTCCGGTATTTTAAGTCGATGCTCGGAAGGTAAATAGTGTGTGGGATGGTACGTCGTTCTCTTACACAAATATATGGTAATTGGGTCTTTTTATGGTAACTACTTCTATTGTTTTTGTCTGTCACGCATAGCCCGCTTTGATTTCTTTCTTCATCGTTTCTCTTTACATACCTTATAGTTTAGCTTTTCACAATGCTTATTTGACTCATGTTACCCTTTCTGATTGTTCGGTCATTGAATGCTGTAATTTGAGTCCCAAAACAATCCAGTAATATCAGTGTTCACAGTCCTTGTCAAGCATATATGTTCTTGTGCCCAGGCCAATTTACTCAATGAGGACTTTGATCTGATTGAAATCAAGTGGTTATGACACGATATTCATCCAAGTGTGCCTTTTTGTAGATTGTTATAATCAACTGCTGCCTACACTGGCACGGTTGGCCCATGCAAGCACCATGTTTGCATGTGCAATACAATCGGCAACATATCCCACCGAAGCTGACAGATCTGATCTCAGGTTTAGCAGCCCGGAGATTTCCTTCCCTTCGATAACCATTTCGCGAGACTTTGGACTCTCTTTTCATTCGGGACCAAGACCAGGTCAGAGGAAACATTGGGGCAGACACAGTTGACCTTGGGATTCTATTAAGCACAACCAGTGTTGGCTGGATAGTGATGCATGAAGCTGTAAGCAACAACCCATCTTGGCTCGCCAAATTATTTCATGCAGGACATCGTGCATACATACATACATACATAGTACGCACCGGCGATCGGAAGCTGGTTGGTACGGCTTTTGATTTGAGGAGAGCTCAAACCAGGTTACCCCAAGGGGTATGTATCTTGGAGTAATGCTGAAAACTGGTAGAGAAAGGTTCCCAGCTCTCTTCATCCCACCCCCCACACCCACTCGCATACCTACTCGACCTCGCCCACCATTGGCACATTACGGCCTGTGCTCTAACTTCCAACCTTCTTTGAACTATCGCTGTCAAAGAGCACATATGCAGCATTACACCGAACCAAGTTCGCCCTCTTACGGCCTAGTACATGAGAAGAAAAAACTCTAAGGGACGGAAGTGGGTTGTTTTCTTACTGCCTCCACATGCCCATATGGGGTACTCTTGCTTTGTGCCTCCCGTCTTGCAACTTCTTGTATGATATCCCATAAACGAGATCTCCGTTTCCCTCAAATCTTTGTCCCACGTCCGAGGTTTACATTACTCTCGGACGGAGTTTCTTATTGCCGTCCTTGACATTATTGGCTCACCATCAATTTCTAGAGGCTCATGATCCGTAATATGAAGGATGTTATGGGCAGCGACATATTCCTCGTTCTGTCATCGGTGGCGAAGGGGGACCTCCTCCCGTAGATGATAGTGATAATGATGGCTGCTTGTGGTCTTCGGGGCCTTTGATTCGTTATGGAGTTGATCCTGAATCCATGTCTAGGCCTCAACGGTGTGAGAATGAGGGGTATAACGAGAATTACTTCCAGATTTGGTTTCTCCCAGGGCTAATACACTCGTTATACCCCCTCGCTACTCTATGGTCTAACTACCGTTGTTTCAACCATTCTACAATTGTGGAGGGAGGGCTGAGGTCCCGATCTCTGTACCGGCGTCCAATATCGATTTCTCAATCGTTTACGCAGTCATCATCATAAATAATCTCATCCATTTCAGGACAGAAAATCCAGAATTGGGTGATGTGCCTACGATAGTGTTGATAAGTTCGTATGTCATTAATGATTCAAATATGTTCCTCCCAGAAATTCAGCTAGCCAGCGAGACCTTTTGGACGTTTGACCGCTTTGACGGCATGAGTTTTGATCACTAGGAGGATTTGGCTTTTCAAAAAGTCGGGAAGGTGGTACTGGATACTGGTCGATCGGGCCCTCCGTACTCATGTCTCAATGTCTAGGAAAGAAGAAAAATCTCCGAAGTCCCTGCCACAGATCCTACCAAACTGACAGACCACCTTTTGGTAGTTTAAAAACATGAACCCTCGCCGAAGAACCGAATGGATTTGTCACATCCCCCTTGCTGGACGCCGTCGAAGGAGGGAAAAAAAAAAGCTGACAGTCTTATTTATCACCACCATAATCAGCTTGTCCAAGTTCAAGTTGAGACGAACGGCCGGGCCGAGTCGCACGCAGGGCATTACAGGGCATTGTAACCACGAGATCGAGCGTGTTGGTATTGAGCTCGACCGCTCCAGGTAAGGGGGTCCGAAGTCTATGGTATTAAATCCAAAGACCTACGAGAGAAAGATCTTTCTGGTTTATAAGATCGTCGAGTCGGGACTTATCCTCTTTGCGTGTATCCGGAAAGCAGGAGAATGAGGTTTCCTTGTGGTCAATCTGCTTTTCGCCTGACCCCCTGGAAGCTTATTCCTGCAGGTATACCCACACGCATTGTCCAACATATGGATTCGTTTAAGATTATTAGCCGGAGTTTTCTTGTGGTGCAATGGGTATCAGACATGGGTGTCTTTGATGTCTTCGGGCAACTAAAGGTTTTGTTTTTTTCCCCCACTAGATACATTGTGCTTACAAAACTAGCAAAATATGGCATTCTTAGGAGAGAAATCGTGAGACATGGTGAGCTTTCGCGGGTGTTGGTATCAAGGTGTGGGGCACGGTCAATTTCTCGTGTTTAACGGATGATCCTCCTCCTTCGGCCCCGCTTCTTTGAGGATGGGAGGGGCTATGGTAGTTTATTTCTTTTTTCTTTTTGGGTGTGAAGGGGCCCATAGATCCAGTTGATCATCCGCAGACTCAGTGGGAATTCTAAGGTATTCGTGAGAGTGTATATCAAGGGAGACTTGCCCATATAACTTCTACCATTTTTACCCATCAGTTCTCACTCCAGTTCTTCCTATAGCTAGCCTTCACCCAGTGAAATACGTTCATTAAGCTTTCCCTCTCTGTGATCTGTTTCTATTACTTTATCATACAATACTACCAGCTCGATATTTAGTATTATTTAAGTTCTTTGTCGTACTTCCCACTTGTATCTTTGCTTCTCCCAACCTTTGAGCTATACCCTCCTTTCATTCCACCAGTAAAAATGAGTATGATTACTTCCAAGTCTTCATCTAACCAGGCACTTCCGTAAGTTATTCGGCGATTCCTTTGCATATGCATAACTAACGCACATATAGACCACTCAGCTCTCTGATGCGGGATTGTGTACACCCACGCCCTGGGAGAATGGAGATTGGTAGCGAAATCGAACATGAATATCATTCATTTAGAGAAGGCCAACCAACTTTGATTGAGCCTTCTCGTCTTGAAGGCTTTCAAGGAAGATATCCTCAACATCTGCTACAGCAGCAGCAACAGCAGCATAGTAGCCATTTACTTTTACCAACTCACAACGCAATGGCCCCGGTCCATCTTCCCCATGCGGAATCACACTACCCCAATGTCCCTGAGATGGAGGGCATCAGATACGCAATGCAGATCAGCCCGATATCTCCGCGAACCCGTTGTCCTTCCCTATCGGAATCGATCCTATCATCGACTGGCTGCACGTCCCCGGGAAGCCACAGTCCAACAACACCAGTTTCGGAGCGAGGCGCACCGGCCTATGGCGATGGAAGGGGTAATGCCACCGGCTCATCTTATCAACATGTCCAGCGTAATAACCATCGCTACCAACAAACTCACCACCACCATCAGCAGCACCGAATTTCAAAGTCATACCAATCATCCTCCGTCCGGATCCACGGCAGCATTTCTCCACACTCTCTGCCTATGAGGTCATCTCTACCCGGAAATTCAGAACATAAGAAGAGTAAGCATGAGATACGACGCATCAAACATCTCAACTCCGAGAAAAAGCGTCGAGAGACCATTAAAGATGGTATGGAGGCTCTATTCAAGCTGGTACCTGAATGCACAGACAAGGGCACGTCCAAGGCGAACATACTGAAAATGACCAAGGAGTTCATCGTAGAGCTCCATGAGGGAACCACAAGCTTGCAGATGGAGATTAGACGACTTGGAAAGGAGAACGAGGATATGCGTCGGTATATAAAACAGCAACAGGAGCCTCGAAAGTATACTTGTCGCCTATAATCGTTTTTCTTTTTGAATCTTCATATTATTCATGTTGGCGAATCATTGTTATCTGTGGAGTTTTTCTCTTGTTTGTAGTGCCATAGTTTTGGGATTGATTTTCTTGCTTCTTACTTTCTTTCTTTATTTTCGACCGCCTGAGGTCTTCTCCCTTTTTGCTGTATTTTGTTCTTCCATTTTTCCCCACTTTTTTTTCCTCTTTTATCCTGAGAGGGATTAATTATTATTCTGGTTCATTCTTTTTTCTCTTTAATCCTCTGCACACGCAAACCTCAACGTACCGACTTTCCCTTCCCTAGTGTGAGCACCTTCTTCACTATTTACCCGTGTATTCAACAAGGGGCCCAAAATTCGATATCGCTTTGCCTGCTAGCTATAGCCTGATCCTTTACTTTGCGTCTTCTTTTTTTTTCACAAGCTAGGGGGGTTCACGGGTCTATCTATTTTTGTTTCTCTCGTTGTCTTTTGTCGGACTTGGATCGGGTGTAGTTTACCTATTGCAGGGCGGTACGGTAGATAAATTTTATTTCCTGTAAAAATTTATATCAATATTACCTTTCCGAATTGAGGTCTAAAGAACAATCTAGACTGACCTCCCAATGCAGGGGGGCCAGTCTCAGGGGCGAGTGATAATCCATGATGACTGTGCCCACAAAAACAATGAACAAGTGACAGCGTCTGTTAGTCCCATTGGTGTATATGAGCACTAACCGCCATTAAAGCTTGACTGGCCTATCAATGTGACGGTTCATCCCTACAATTTTTCCTCCCTATCCTGGCATAAAAGTGAACTTGTCCAGGGAATAATTTCTTTAGCGGCATGGCCAGATATGCAGGAGCATAGCCCTCACGTTTTTGAGTAAGACAATGTACCTTCCAAGTAAAATCGACCTCTAGTGCGTATATAAAACACGTGGCGGAGGAGAGGCGTTATGGTGGCGTTAATTGATCTTCGAGGTGGGAATAAGATCTACAGCTGGCCTATGCAAGATTTTATTTTTATTCCCACGAGGGAGAAGGTGCAGAACACCAGTTACCTCTCCTGTCCTCTTTTTTTTTTCTCCGCATTCTTGTTTGCATGCTAAGCTCGTGGTGGTAGTATCAGAGCGGTCGGCGACTTGGGAAGATAGGCATAATTTGAAATTACCTGCAGTTGGTCTGTGTATGTGTGTACAGAATCTCGCTAGCTTTGGTATGATAGGTAATCGCACTTCATGTTTCTCTGTTTTTCTGCGTCACGTATATGTAGCCAAGGTATGGGATCTAGCCACTCAATTGAGTGGTGGGTTGTAGGTCTAGACGCCGTTACCAATGCACGCGAACCTCTCCTGGGATCCAAACAGATCGAATACGCGCGATTTCCAGCAAACAGTTAGTAGTCGATATGCGAGATAGGCATAGCGTACTTACCTTCTGTCGTCGTGGGGGAAGGCGCATAGAAACTCGCATCTAGGCGAGGTACGGTGCATAAAAGCTCGGCTCCGGCTCGAGTCTATTTTCTGCCTTAAAAATCGAGCTTACCTGCTGTGCCCTGAGGTAAGGGGGTGACTGACTCGGAGTGCGGAGCGATGAACCCGCGGATTCCATATCGCCGTTCAAGCTCGCCTAGGTAGCTCTCGGTGCTGCTTCAAGTATGATAAGTACACAGGTACATGTATGTATGTAGGTACGAGGCAAAACTCTTTCGTTGCTGGGGATGGGTGATTTTTGGTGATGCGCCCGGAAACTCGCAATACGAGATCTCGGTCAAATTAAGTGAAAACTCTAGGACGATCTGAGCCGAGCATCGTTTTTAATACCGTCACTATTAGTCAAGTTGATAAGGTTTGAGTAGGGGCCTTTTTCCGAACCCTTCCTAGTGGCAGGCATAGGAGTGACTGATCGGTTTCACGTTGTGAAACAAAGTTCGAGGCTCATTCGAATGCATATATTTGTTCACGAATAAAGGGGCTTTGACGAATAAGGGTTTTCGGCCATTGCAAGTCAAATAGACGGTTTGGCAGCTCGATAAAGCCATTTTTTGTCTTTACCCCACGAATGCCTGTATACGAACCTGCCAAGATGAAGCTTGTATATGTTCTACCCAGATGTCGACATTAATGTCTGAAAATGTAGGTACTCTAGCTATGATGTAGTAGGTGAGGATAGGCGTGGTAGGATCCAAGTCATGAGGTAGGTCTTGGTTGAAGCTGCGCTAGTAGATTAAAGCATTGCGAACGGCCAATCAGTAGGTCACTTAGGGCACAATATAATGTATGAGCGAATAAGAGATGTCTAGACTTCCTTAGCTACTCGAAAACGCACCCCTCCCGGATATTATGATTGGCTGTGAAATTTCGGGAGAATTGGTCCAAACATCGTACTGTAGTCGGTTGCTATTAAAGGGAGGTAGAGTGAGTTGATTAGCCAGGAAAGACAATTGTTAGGAAACATGGATGGATATGCGCAAGATTCGCCTAAATTTAGATTTGATAGTACCAAGTGAGCCTGCAAGGGGGGACCAAAGTCCTATGAGTCTACATGGTGTATCACTCGAACTATCCAAGACAGCGCTTCTATATTCTGTATATCAGGACAATCATTTGCAAGGAGATAATCTTACCAAAAACGTTTTATCAGAGCCAATCATATGTAAAATGTTCGAGTTGCAATTGGGATACTATATGTGATTTGCGTCTTTAGACTTGTTGTTATCATTGGTGCTTTTTATCGTCTTCCTTAGTATTTCGTACAACTGGAATGCAGCCTCCGGCCGCAAATTCGCAAAAGCCTAAAAGAGTGAAATGATTCCAATCTATTTACGACCTCTGAGTGGATATTGCAATGTCCAATCTATCTACGAAGTCAATTATCCATGACATCTATAGATATATATCAACAGCCACTGCAAACTATAAACCTACAAGTATGAAAATGGATGCTACATACATGTTACATCCCTTCCAAACTCGGCCGCTGGAGTGGCTCTTTGTCCAGTACACATAGCAGTCTTGGTAGAAGAAAATTAACCAATGATAATGCTTACTGACCACAACGAGGAAGATTATATTATTTAGAAATAGATTTAGAATGTGCTAAAGTTTGCACCGTGCCTTTATGTCTCGAGCTCGGTTTATAGAACTGATTTGTCTTATTGCTAGCTTTAATTCTAGGATGATTCACTTGTGAAGGGTGTTGGCCAGCAGAGTGGCACCCGTGGGCGATTCTCCGAACGTTGAAGACTTGTAGAGCTGGCTGGAATTGAGATAGCGATTGGGGATTTTGATGAAGTTGATGGTATGTCTGAGATGGAGCTGTGTGTTAGTATACTTTGACTAGAGGTTTTCCCGTTTGTTACTAACCAGAAGTATTTTATTATTAATTTAAACTAGGTTGGTGAATGAAATAAAGCCTTACGTTCCTCTTTTCCCTGTAACTCCGGCCTGGGACCTTTTTGCTATATATTGGAAGTCCTTTCCTGGGCGGAGTAAACAGAACAATCATCTTATTGAAGGCCTGTTAATTCTGGCATATTCTAGTATACCATTAACGTTCTATGTAGGGTGCCTGGGTGCAGGGTTAGGCTCTCTGATCTTAGGGGTCAGTTATTACCCGCCATTTGCGAAATTTCTTTCTGTCCTGACCTTTTATATATTAGGAGATGAGCCGTACACACCAAGTACATGAGTCCAAACCACGTTTCTTCAAAAGCTTGAATATGATTGAAAAACCATTAAATCCATACCATGACAACGTGGCCGAGTGGTTAAGGCGTCAGACTTGAATCATCTATTCGGTTATCTGATTCCTTCGGGAGCGTAGGTTCAAACCCTGCCGTTGTCGATCCTGAAATAACTTTTACCCTTTTTACAAGGCTGGTGGAGATGTGGTTTTTAGTCCTCAGAAGACTAGGCGTATGAAGGAGTACGGTATCTGAACGAGACCGATAATTTTGGTGGTAACTTCGTACATATAGACCCTTGAGATATGCCAAGAGGTCGCGATAAATCCAGGTACTTTCACTATTTCATAACTTCGCGATATTAGTTTTGAAATCGTTACGAGTCTCCTATTCTATAACACATTTAGCGATACCGTACTCTAATACCAATAAATCCGAAAAGATTATGATCACAAAGTTTCTTTGTGTAAATATCTCCGAGTGATATTTCATGATTAATTGGTCCGTTTGTGTGCCGAAAGATCCGATTCCGGCACAAATGACATAAACACTTTTCAAGTACATATTATGTAAATCGCGCAGCCTATTGGATGAACGCCCGATCAAAAAAGCTTTAACTACATGTGCTTGACGGATAGATGCCTAGTTGCCTATGCAGGTACCAACAGTAATGTTTCAGAGAAACTTTCGAGACGATGAAACGCTTCTATAAGGATTAAACCAAGGGTATGGCAGGGTGGAAGTTCACGACGGCCGGGTATATCAGTGGATGTGTTTGTAAAACCTGTTTAGGATTCTAGGCTGTTGAATACCTGTTCTTGACATGACCGTTACTTGCAACTTCTATAAGGCGAATTTCAAGGTTCAAGGATCTTCCTCGACAGAAACATGGGGCACGTATAAATAAGGGCCGAACACTTCCGGAGGCCCCCCGGGCAGGGAATTGTTATGATATAGGAGGGATACCTGCTATTCTAGATCATTCTTCTATTTTCAAAGACTGAGAAAGCCAGGGTCGGCCGACTTCTAAGAAAGGGATCCCTGGTCATGATAAAAATCGCAAGGTATTCTCTTCACTCCGCCCTTGCCTCTCCTTTTTAGTGGCGTCTGAGAGTACTTTACGTATCTCGCAGCTCCTATCTATGGCCTAGTTTATTCGCAATACCATCACGCAATAATCAACGGCTTTGTCCTGAGGATAAATGTGCATGTATAGGCAGGTGGGGAATAAGAATTAATCCATGGCCTTGTTGTCCACAAATATGGGATTCCCGAATACTGGACTAGCCCGTTATTATCCAACCAGTAAGAAGGGTTGCTCTTACACACACATACATAAATGATTAAACATTGCATATTAACAGGCAGCGGATAGGCACTGCACATGCATCGGCAACCGTCGCCTACTGTCTGCGCGCGCTGCATAGTGAAGAAAAGAAATCTGGTGACTTCCGATTGCACATCCCCTAACCGCTGCGCGTCAGGGCGGCAAATTTCATCCGGGGACCCTCCTTCACCCTCTACGCCGCATGTACGTCGGCAAAAGCAAAAGATTTACCGCGGCCCTCCACACAGTCTCGCGCGAAATCTGGAGTAGACTCTACCTCGCATAAGTCACAAGCTCCAATAGCTAATTTCGGGGAGGAGGGTTCCCTTGTGTAGCTGCTATAGCGCTATATTATAGGTACATTGTATTGTACTCAAATGTGTCATGTATGCACTGTAGGACTTAAGCCTATAGCTACTGGTACATACATTATGTGCAATACAGGAATTCGACAATCTTCTATATATAACAGAAAAGGTGGCGGTCTCATAGGTAATTGTGAGAGTTAAGGTCCCGGGCGGCTCACACATACAGGATGAATAAATAAAGAAAAAGTATCTAGGGGAAGTATCCAACAAACGAACTCTCAACACATTGTGTATGGAAATGGCTAGTTAGTGATAGGTGGGGACAGCTATAAAAGTGGGGGGGGGGGGGAACCTGAATCAATTGATTACATGATGTGAACTGTGATCTAGAACTCCACGAGCTCATGAAATCATATATATGTTGTTGCTCTCTATTTAGACCCGGAACATTGATATTTACCCTCCGAAGCTATTAGTTCATCACTGCTACCGATATATCATTGAGACAAGATCAAAGGTCTGATATACCTAGGCCGACTATCTCTCTCAGTGGGTGGTAATACCAGGAGCAATTAACCCTTCGTTATATATAGAATCAGAGTCTCATCCCGACCAGTTCTAAGAGTCTTGGTAAAAGACTTATGCGATCTCAATATCTACAGTATCGCATAGCTACTTTGTGATAAAAGTTGGCCTAATAGTTCCGGGATATATCGGTAAAAATCTTGGTATCTAATAATTTTGGAGTAGACAGCAATTTTCTTAGGAGATCAGTAGTAAAGAGTTAATATGAATACAATATGAATATATCTATAAGGAAGTCATACCGTACCTTTGGTACTACTTAGTAGCTATCTACGGCCACAGAACCTCTTCGGCTGGCACGTGACGGGAACGCGCGAGTGACAAAGTATGATTTCGAATCTTAGACAGGACCGTCCAATCAGAGCGCCACAGCTGTGAAGTAGAGCAGTAGCTATTTGCTGTATGCTCTCTTTTTTGCCCATAATCGGACTAGTCTAGGTTGATTACATATGTGAAAAGCGGGGATCAGAAATATCAGGAGACGAACATGGATCAATGGACAGCTAGAATAGTAATCCAAACCCTTTCCACCTCGCGTCTCATTCCGTTCTCGTCTATTTTCCTTCCCTCAATCCTAGACACAAGTTTATTTTTGCAACCCTCCTTCTACTGATTTGGTACTTCCCCTGCACTTCCTTCTCCTGTCTTTTTTACTTCTTCGTTGTTTATAGACGCGCTAGCTGTCAGTACAAGCTGTTTGCATTCCCCTTAAGCGCGCGGTCGATCGTCAAAACATTGGCCTACATATAGCCCCCCATTGCCTAATAAATCCCTGCCATTTAAGAAATATTTACTCAACCAAGGACTGTACTCTACATCCCTAAGACTAGCTCCATACCAACCTACAATTTGTAACCCGTGCCCTGCCGTATGTATAAGGCTGACTCTATACGCGCTTTTCCCTGACAAATAATTATACGATGGGATTTCAGGGCTTTCCCCTACCTACGTACCCGCGTAAGATCGCTTTTGAGACAGAGTGATACAAGTAATGCTGGCTGGCTGGCTCGGTTACGGTGAAGGAGGGCACCGGTGAGCGAGCGCGAGTGATACAGAATGATGCGGTAGGGTTCACCCTCAATAAACCCATGGCCAAGCCAACTGTGCTATGTGGTGTGCGCTGTAGGTACATGTAGCTTATGCTTATGGCAGAGTAAGAGTGTAAGGTAGCGCTATATGTAACTTTACAACTACACCATCATTTCTCAACCCCCCTGACTCCTTACCACATCTTGTATACAATCCCAGCCCTGAAAAAGCGCCTATGTAAGAACAACAGGACAAAAAACAAAAAATAAACTAAAACGGTACGTCCCGTGTTAATGCCCTAAATATATTAGCCTCGAATAGGAAGGAAATTGTTAAACTGGCTGTAAAGAAAAGGACCAAAGATTAAGAATACATGCAACATGCAATATATATTTCGGTATGGTGTAACCGCCCTACCCTTATTTAAGCCAAGGTGAAACAAACTAGATCACTTCGCGCACCGATCTATGTGTTCGAAGAAGATGTCAACCCCCCATTCGAGACCAGGCTCTTGGGACCGCCTTCAATACCGGAATACTATTCATAAATAGAACTTGAGGAATTCTCAACTATCCGTCTCAAACAGGAAGGATCGAGTGCGGTTTGATGTCCGATTTGATTGATAAATATACGGGTGTACTATGGATCAATTCTCGAGATCTCCTCACATATCGATGCCAAGAGCCTCAAGCCAGCCCTGTCGGGCTACTCACATTCCCCATGTACATATGTTTTCAGATCTCAGGGTGTGGTTTGAAAGTTAGCTGAAAGAAAGCGTGGCGGCATGCAGTGCGTAAGGTACATATGTTGTATCATCTGCGTGTCTGATAAATGCAATGCGCTAGACTACTCCACCGACACATGTAATATACTCCAGCGTAACTCATAAACCTTCCCATAGGGTTCGTGGGATCATACTGAGAACACGCAGCAGTCTTCATTCGTAGCGATCTTGAGGATCCAGGTATGATCGAAAGGTCGTCTAAAAGTCCCTCCCTGTATGTTTCACATTCCTCACATTTGTGTTCTTCACGAGAACAACAAGACAAATTGGGAATCACCAAATCAGGGATACCCTACCGGAACGGTACATATAAAGTTGCCTTATGACGGTAACGCCCAAGCCTAAAGTTGAATCTCACAGTCGCCTAGACCCTTGATGTCATACAGGAGGCACTGATCAGCCCTATCGTAAGGCATGATCTCCATGACAACAAGTCACGTCTGAGCCCTATCGGTGTGCTTCTAGGGAAGAACGTGGGTGCAGCACATATGAGTTGGTCGTCAGCCTTGTTGATCCACTTTCGCGAATTGAACGCTTACAAACCCTCCGACCTTAAAGTCGCAGAAACAAGCTTTTCTCTTAGGAATCCTGAGAACACCATTAGGTAATGTGGGTGCATTCACATTTTAGAACGTCCCAGCACTGGATGATTATCCTAAAGAGCCCTCCGGTATCTAGATGTGAGTTTGGATCACTCCCCCCAACTAACTGATAACAAATCAAAAAGCAAAGGTTGTAAGATATGATAACATGCGATACAACGGTTGTGATAAATGATAGCCCCCATGATCTTGGGAGGGTTTTGGTACATAACCCACCCAGCGTTTCATAGCTTTACTCTGACTTCATCCACCTTTCCTCTGGCAACACTAATCCCGGGAACGACCCAATCTCCACAGGAACACCTCAGACCTTGCCATGCGTAGGATCCCACCTTTGACTGGCATTTGGGACATTCTAATTTTCCAGAAATTTCACCTTTGGAGAGCTCATCCTTCATCCATAAAAGGGGTTCTAAGAAATGGTGAGAGCATTGCTGCTTTGGCGGTACGTTTTGGGCCGGTTTTGGAATATGGGGTGTTAAGGAAGCAGAGGTCGCTAGTGTGCGTCTGATCCACCCAGTGTTCGGTCAGCCAAGCATAGAGGGGAAATAAAAGATGAATATATGTGCGCACCGGCATTTCTTACACCGTAGCTCTATTTCACCCTTTTCCGCAGGGGTTTCACCCTCTTTCACTTGAGTGATTTTCCCTATCGCGGCCTCTGCATCTCTGAAATGTACTCGCTCCGGTGCCCTTCCAGCGGCATTACTCATCTCGACATCCTGTAAGTAAATCCACCGCTGATATAAGGGGTGATCTTCAACAACGTCGGTATAGTTCATTTCATGATATAGTTCAAGTTGTTTCATAAACCCAGGATTTGGTTCCACGATTGGGCGGGCACGCTCTATGAGTCCTAAGGCAAGATTTGGTGCGATACGGCGTGTAGCCATCAGATATGCAGCGAGTATAGTTGCTGAACGGGATTTCCCCATGGCACTAATGTACGGTCAATAAAGAGGCCAATGGCTGTGTGAAGGCTTGGTAGAGGCTAAAAAAAAATTGAACTACGAACCAATGGATTAAGACCGCACCCCCAGCCTTTAAGGCTTCAGAAATGAACTTATTGCTGGAAGTGAAATGTTCAAGCAGGTTTTCATCCTCAACATCGTCCACCTCGATAACTTTGTGCTCATAATTCTCAAACAGAGCTTTATCGAGAGGTAATCGTAATACGGACACCACATGGGTTATTCCGGCTTCTTTTAGAGCTTCCCGTCCACGAAGGGCGAACATTCTGCCGGTTTAATTAGGGAACCATGGTTCCCCACGAGGTCAGCGACAGATCGGCGTTGAGAGGCAGTAGAAAAAGAAAGAAAAGTGCCCCACTGCTTACCCTCCAATGTAGAGGTTCTCCCCCGCAACTTTGTTCATGGCCATCTCGTCGAGATATCGCTTATGATAACAGTGGTTGATAACCGGCACGATGGCGCCGATGGGAGGGAGACAATCACACGCACACACACACACACGCGCACAGACAGACAGACGGACAGACAGACAAGTGGTGGGCTGTAATTTTTCTCGAGATGATTTCTAGAAGTAAAAATGGGTGAGGTGGTTTAGCTATCAGAGCCTCAAAGACGATCGCAGATAAAAACGGTGTGCAAGAATGCGGGGCACTAAACACCTATTGTTTTCCAACCGGCTTAGGGCTAGAGGCGCATGCGGTGAGCATCAGGCTCGATGTAGTTTAGTCATCTCCTTTGAGTCTTCCACGAATAAAGGCACATCTAAGGATATAGGTATTATAATAAAGATATAAAGTAGGTAAAGTACTTTACATCTACATCATGTGGTACTAATTTATTTAGGGCAGGTTGTTGCATGTTGTTGCTGGTTTTTCTCTTCTTACAATTTACGGCATGTTCGTGAGCTGGGTTGGACACGATCCCGGATGTTTATGCAGGCAGAAAGAGGACTCAAACATCGAATCACTGTTGGGCAGACCGATAGACGTTACACACAGAATCACTCATACACATATGTGCTCTGGAGTTGGGGGCAACGGACAAACCGAGACTGCCCTACAAGCCAGGCTGCCCTACAGGCCCTACAGGCCCTACAGCAAGGCTGTTGTGTGTATTTTTGTTCGACCACTCTCTTGACCACATTTGCCTCTACGCATGTCTTGGCTGCACGTGTTATGCCCAACCTTTGGTGTCGTTACCCCAGCTCACCTTTGTTTTTCGCAGGCGTCAGACGTCTGCTTCAACCCCTTCCGGTTTCACTTCAGCCCAGTCCCGTCCTGTGGGTTGCCGCCCTATCATTCTTCAGCCTTACAAGCCACTAGTCACTACCACAGGAATAATACCACAGGGTCCCGAAGTCCGAGGCAGGCACGCCATGAGGAAAGGTGTGGGAGCCGCTGACGAAATAGCTTCTCTAAAGAGCGCGTGCATCCCCATACTCCATTTTCTTGTTTCCCAGGTATTTCGACCCAACGGCCAATTAACATCTGCGAATAGCTGGTGAAAGTACCTACATGCATAGCTATCTACCTACCCAATACTCACCCACTATTCTTCGGTTGGTGGTGGTAGTGGTGGTGGTGGTGGTGGTGGTGGTGGTGGTGGTGTGTAGGAAAAAGCAGTGTTGCTTTCTGCACTAGAATTATCGACTGACATGCCCGCACGACTCTACTCGAGAAGTAGGCATTTGGGTGCGAACACTAGAAAGATAGAGGGAAAATTAGAGAAGAGGGGTTGGTGAGCTAAGATAAAACGGCAAGCGCGTGATCATACATAAAACCGTATCTATTTGCGCAGGATCTCAGCGGCCCCGATACTTCAGCCTGCTCTTGAGACCTGAGATGTGGAATCAAATCAAAATCCATCTATCGGTAGATTTTTATCGTATTTACACCGTATGAGTTGTCTTCGACTCCGTTGTCCTTCTCAAACATGCTCATTCTTCGATTTTCCAAACCTCGCGTTCCTGACTCCCATGATGTCCTTTCCATCTGATTTTACAATATGATAGGTACGTCTGACTGTTTCTACCCTCGGGAGCATCTAAGTGGCATAGGCACAGACACGGTCAGGCAAGCAGATACAGTACCTATACGCACCATGCACTAGGGTCGTGGCTTCAAGCCAGATTGAGAAGTTAAGAGGGAGCTGCAACATGATGCTTGTCAAGTTAGCTGTGCAACACTACATTGATCTTTCTAAAGGATGGAGAGTTCTTAAATTCTTTTTTAAATTTTTATTTTTCATTTAAGAAAAAGTCAACATGAAGAAATTTATCTGATCTAATTGATTTCGTTGGCTTTCACAAGGATGGAGTATATAGAGGATCAGATTAGCCGTGAAAGCCATTATATTCGTCTAATAATGAGTTTTAGAGGTCATCATGTAGTGGTGAGTGTGCAATCCAAGCTGGTGGATCGAGGCAGGGTTACAGAGGGGAAATAGGCCAATCCCACAGCTAGCTCGATGTCCTTACCTCATTGACTCCATTCCTTCGGTTTTTTCTTTTCTTTTCCGTTTCTCTGTTCCCCCTTTCAACTTTCCTTACCCCCCTTCTTTTTCGCCCACTCTCTGCCTTTGAATGTTCCCTGTAAATATTATCTGTAACGAGTGCCAGAGAGTGCTGTCAGCGGTGGCGGATGAGTGAACCCGGGGCCAGGCTTTCATGGAACAACCGCGTTCGCCCTAGCTACCGATGGTAGATTCCCTTGGCCGAGCACGGACAGTGTGAGCATGATTCAAATCGTAATTCTCGACCCTGTCAATCCGGTGTCGATTTTTAGCAGCGGGTTCTAGGTAGGGCTGGTTTTATGTGCCGCTGCTTTGAGACCAGCAGAACACGATTCGGAGACATTTGTGACGAAAAGTGATAAGTTAGCAGTACTAGCGGAGAAGTCGGCGATTATGGTTGTGGTCGTGGTTGTGGATGTAGGTGATGGTGGTGAGGTAGAGTAGTGCTCTAGTGGAGTGAAGTGAGCACTAGGTACTCGCTGGTAAGGAAACGGTCAATCAACGCCCTGCCAGTATGGTCAGGTCAATAAGTACTCTACGTAGCATGAAAGCAAGGCTAGGACGCCCCAATGTAGGGAAAGGGCGTTCACATCGTTTCCCTGTGAGGCTGAATCTGCATCGCTGCTGCTTCTCTGCTCACTGCTCCCGACGGGGTAGGGAAGAAGTCTCCTCTCCCCCTTGCACCCTTGGATATATATGATCTAGCTGTTATTTGCTATATCCATACTAACCACAGCGTCCCTCAATAACTTACAGGCGCACTCACATACCTAGCACGTACATACATATACCTACCTCTCTATCCTCGTACATACATAAGGTCAGTTTTTTGTTCCACCCCCCTCTTCCCCACGTCTCCGCCTCTGCTTGGTCCGTCATACATACCTACTAGTCGGCTTCCATTTATCCTTCGATTTTTCTCTCGCCTTACAACGTCCTTCTTTTGGCACCGTTCACATAGTTATCCCATCTACGTAGCTACCGTCTTGTGCAGCTAGACTTCGCCCTATCCATTCACCACAACCACCACACTTCGTCGACTCATTTTTATTCTTCACCATCACGATCACTTGAGCTATTCGTCCAAAACAGCTTTATAACCAACGTCAATTAGTCGTTGTTTTTGAGGGAATCGTTCTGTGGCTGCATGTTGCAGGACCCGGTTGGGATCACATTCGATTTAGCAGCAGGAAGGGTCTTCAAGATCTAGCGGCGGGCGATCGAGTTGCGGCTGGTGTGAAACCATCCCGAAAGAAAGAAACACACACAGAGAGAGAGAGAGGGGGGGAAAGTCACAAAGGTAGAAAGATAGAGACAGAACGACAACCACGAGGTGAATTTATCTCAGGCAGGGAGAGCGAACACAACGACCCGGACAGCATTTAGCTTGGATAAGGAGGCGACGAGCACAAGTAGAGGTGGCGAAAAAAATAATTGGGGTTTTGAGATGAAATAGCAACCTTTGTACTTGCTCGGGTATTTTATTTCCTAGTTGGTAAAATCCGCCGCCAACGTTTCAGCTCCTTCAGCTGGTGTTGTTGAATAGCTGACCCGTAACCTCTGATTAGACGAGAGATCACGACCCAAATATATCGAGAGAGTTAAGGAAACCATCCTCTCGGAGAAATCCTTGTTTCCAACCCCCTCCCACCACGCACTAGTCGCATAGCTATCGTTAAAGGTATTCAATTGGACCCGGTAATCTTGCTTCAAGATCATCCCATGAATCTAATCATTGTTATTATTAAGGCACAGCACTAGATACCCGTCGCCCGATCTTGTATTCCTCCCCCCCAGTTCTTCATGGGTTTCCCTCGATTGAACAACAACTTCAGCCTTCCAGCCATCCGTAGCCCTGACGGCAATCACACCATGGACACAGGCAACGACTTCCCATCTTCACCACAACGCATCGCTCAAAGATCTATGCCTCTTCCAATACCTCTATCCAAAAGCTCCCCCACTTCTAGCCGGGGGGTATCTTTTGCTTCACAGAGCTCTCAGGTCCCACCAGTGCCTTCACTTAATCCGCCGCCGATATTGTCTTTAGACCCTCCTTCGCTGCCATCTCATCGATATCATCATCATGACGATGACTCAATGGCTGAGGATTGTGACGATAGTGAAGGAAAAGAAATCGCGCGACGGCGAAGAAGAGAGGAAACGAGGGACCGGGATGGTCGAGGAAATCGACTGTCCTCTAATGATTGGCCTTCGAGAGTATCTCGAAAAAATGGAGAATCACAGTATGACCCCCCCGGTAACCTTGAAGACACCAGAACCAGGAATGAAAACTCTTTTCCGAAATATTGGAACAGTGACTTTCCCAGGAAACCTCTAAAGAATACCAAGGAGTTGAGTACCCATATTGCCAATATCAATACTTCTTGTAGCATTTATTTAATATATGCATTGATATGCTCCGATAATAATATCTCGCACATTTCCCCACTCGATCCTATACCCATCGTTATAATCTGCTTGTTATTGCCCTTTGTCGTTTCGATGTTTAATTACATAAAGAGGAACAATTATTAACTTTTGCAATCTTGTGAATTCAGTGGCAGATTGCAGGGTGACGCTTCCGTACGTGGGGCTATGGAGAAATCGGTCAAAGCCTACGACATGGGTCTTGTCGCAAAGCTCAATGGCGGAGCTAAATCAGAACCTTCAAATCGAAATTACTTTACTCAGCCACAAAACTATCGACCGTTATCATATACTACGCCCACCCCCGAAGAGTTTCCGCCATCACCCCTAGGTCTCTGGCGTTCACCCAAAGAATTTATTAAGAGCCGAACCTCGAACCCAATACCGATACCTAGTCCGGGATCTCAAACCCCAATTGAAAGATGGGCTCAAGCAGACGGCATCCCGCCACCGTTGGGACTGGCAGAA